CTCCTTGGCAACGTCCTCGTTAGTGCCCACACTTTTTTCGGCGTAGAGGGACCTCATGGAGAGAGAGAAAAATCTCATATTGACAGCTATGCCCCTCACTCCTTGCTGAAGATCGCCGACTATCTTCTTTGTTTTTTGCTCCATGGCACTCATCTGCGAGAAACAAAAAGATCACACTTAAAAATTTTTCGCGGTAACGTACCCTTCTAGAATTTAAGCATAGTATATATCCCCCAAGATATTTTCAAGGAAACAGGTCGTTTTCTTCAGGCAACTTTGTACTCAAGATGTAAACGTCACGAGGTGAGGTAACCCGCCTAGCTGGGGTCGCGTTCACGGTGTTATGGAGAGTGCGTTGTGTTACATATTTACTGAAAATAGAGCTGAGGAAGTTTCTGGAACGCGTAGTCATACTGACTTATTAAGAACTCTTAATGGAATTTTCTAGAATCCTAAGTCAGCAGCATATTTTGTTATGATGCAATACTAATGTAATGATACTAAAAGTAGTTGTATTACAGATCCCTAAAATGTTCTGGAACATTTTGTAAAACATATCTAAGGAGTCGCGATCAGTTAAAGTTAGGCCTTTTTCAGTGAGTTAGTGCTGCCGTGAAGAGCCCAGAGGAGCCAGTGTTGCTACAGAGCCGGACTACAGAGAGAATCGTTGGACTTATTTACTATCACAAGAATCGTCAGCCGTGTGGACATCGTTCAGTCACAAGGATCTCTAAAGAGAACTCTGAGTTCTGCAATAGTGCACTGAGATTAAAGTTCTTACAGAGGCTCTAAGATAAGAGGATAGTTATGGTATTGGTATCGCTCAGTAGTGAGATTATAACGTCAGTTAATAAAGTAGTTGGCAAAAAGCACAAAAAAACGAAACGTTTTTCAAAACTTTGTACATTTCTTGGCCGTTCTGTTCAGAACTAAAAAGTTAAAACACTAACTTTTACGTTCTCGAAGCAATGCCGATGACAAAACCTCGGAGGCAATTTACTCGCATTTTACTTTAAACTCATCACACCATTGATTTATTATCGAAGTATTGACGAAAATCTGAGAGAAAAATAAATTTCGTCTCATAGGACCGAGTATGGCAGGAATAGCAAGTGCCGGGACCTTTTAACAACATTTAAGTCTAAACCCTACGACATCTCGGGTCAAAGGAATGAAATAACTCTGTTGAACCTCTGTGAAAAGGGCTATTCAGAAACAGCTAACATAACATATCTACTGCGAGGATCGTGCATCATACAGAACTTAACTAGATAACTTACATGAGGTAATCAAAGATAGGACTTCTGTGTCTCCGTAGCTTGACTCATTTGGCGCATCATTGTAGGCTGCAATGTAAAAATCCAGAACATTGTTTGCTTGTTCATGAGACGCCAAGGTTGTCCATGACATGTTTGACAACGTTTGTTCACACCAAAAATTACAAATAAAGGCCAAGTAGCGTTAAACTAAGCAAACAATTAAAGTTCTGAGCTCCACGTGCAGCAGTTATCTTGACACAACCATGATGAATTCAAAATGTATGTGACCATATTTGCAATTCAAATTATATATTTCGTGGGCCAAAAAATCAATATTCCAAAGAATACTCTGAGGAGAGGAAGAAGGCGTGATTTCCGTTACAGATCCCTTCGGCTGTTCAGTCGTGTTCATCTTTGTGATGATTTGAAACTAGAGACTTTTTAAGCAAGTGGCAGGTGGGTGAGAACTACATTTCTTTGCACAATCTTCCACAAACGTACACGATAACTAATGATCTGTATACACCATCAATCAATTTAATAGCTTAAACTGTATTTTGGTTACTTCAGTTAACTTTAGCAGTTAGCCTTGATTCCAGCTACTTGTTAAAACGCGGGAATGAGGCTCTTGCCGAAAAGAAATTTGCGATCGCATCATGTCCCAATTTGTGAGACATGTCTAAACTTGAAGAACAATTGCCAGGCCTTATTTCCTCCATATAGGAAACATTTTGATATGATGAATTCACGGTGAGATTGTTTTAATGGAATTGATTTAGCTGCTGCCAAGTTAACATTATATTAAGCCTATTAAATGTCTTTAAGTCAGCCAAAGTACTTGACTTACCGCCTGGCCTTAGCTTCAAAACGCGCAAACCAAATATGGTTAGAAATACTCCTTGGCATCAACGCATTTTAATCTACTTAAGGGTTGGAAAACCAGCCCTGGTTTTGAAAAATGCTTAAGATCAAGTGGCAAGTGCATGTTCTCTGCAAGTCCCTTTTGCCATAAACGGCAACAACAACAACAACATTAAGTTGTTGTTTCATGTGTTTTTACTTGCAAAGACATCTTCCAGAATGCTTTTAAAATCGTCTTCATGTGAATGCATGAATACCTTGTTCTAACGACTACCCTGCGTAAAAATAATACCTTTTTATCTTTTTTTGCCAACAATAGTGGTATTAATAGCCTTTACTTTCTCGCGGCATAAAAATTAGATATCTTGTGCTACAAAGTAAAACATTATAAAGTAGTATAAATTTTAAAGTAATGAAAACATGTGACAAAATCACAAACTTGCAACGCCACTGTTATCTAAATATTAGACGATTTATTTGAGAATCTTTAAAACGGTCTGTATTCATTCTGGAGCGATAACAAGATTTTTTTCTCTAAAATAATGTTTTATTCCTAGAGAAGTTGTTTTTTGTCCTGTTTTTCTAATAGCTCATGTCTGTTTGTAGCCCTAGATATATGTTTGTGCTCGCGAAACCTCTCTAGAAAGCTCTGAATCATGGCGCACAAGCTCGGATTTTTATTACATTTCCGAAATTGAATTTTGATACAAGCAATCTGTATAAGACTGAACTGAGGAACCAAGGTCATGTGAACTAATCATCTCACAGATCATGCGATGTTGTTTCAAGATACGGTCTACGGTTTAAGGCCGCAAATATTCCTGTGTGTCTTCGAAAGGCGCACTTCCTTTTTGATGATGATGCGTTTTTGCCTGTCATCGACACAAGCATACCCTAAAACGTTCATGAAAACGAAGACTTGCGCAAACTGTGGAGCGTTTTTAAAATGCTTTTTTTAATCGGCCGTCTCTTGTATAGACATGTGAAAATGGAGGCTTTTGAAAGGGTGACCGGCGAAAACATTGCACATACTTTCTCCCTCCACTGACAGCGTTTTCGGTCGTTCTGGTGTGGACTCGGGATAGTTGAAAAGGTATAAATTAGAAGGTATGCGTTTTTCAATGAAAATGTATTACTGGTACAGACAAGAGCAAGCCGGGGAGAAAGAATATATGGGCAAACCAATTTGCTAGGACTAAAATAGATGGCTCTATAAACGGCTTAGTGTGGTTTGGGCCCAAACATATCGCGTAACATAATGTCTCAGGTGTTTCTTTTAGTTGACCTTTGGTTGTTGGAGCGAGTTTTTTCTTACAAAATATTATTACACGTCTCGAAAAAAGAATGAAATGGCTAACACCAAAATAGAGATAAACCAAAGTTTGCTAACTAGTGAGATTAATAAGTCAACTTAATTCTAAAGTGTGTTACCGAGTTCATCGCAATGATATATTTACCGTTGTAAAATTAGAAGGGAATCTATGTTTGCTGCTCTATGAACGCAGAACTGGTGAGCCCCTGCAGACAATACTTCGGTACATCAGTGTTGTTTTTCACTTCCTCTCTGTTCTTTCATGTTACTGTTCTGTGTTTTGTCTTATCTCTTTACCTCTAAAGTGATCACCAGCCTATCATCCATTAAAACGAGAGAGAGTGATTGCTTCTTTAAGACATGGAAGTTTGAACATATGTTGCATCATGCGATAAGCAATATTTGAACCACCGTTTGGTCTTTTTTTGTACAAAAAATGGAAATAAAAGATCGGAACAGTTGCGCAACGATGGCGACATTGCGTCGCATGCACTTGCCTTTTTTTTAACCTTTAGCAAAAATAAAATCCATAGTTTCATTTAACAGGATTGAGGCTGGCATGTTCAACCTAAAACTATGCAAAGGTGTCACCCAGGTAATCATAGTAACAAGTAATATTACATGGGTCAATAAAAAATTTCAGAGCTTATGCAGACTTATAAGTCTTTAAGAACGACGGCTTAGGCTGAACAAATTCACGAAATTATTAATTAACAAGCGTTGTCGATGCCATTTAGAAAATTGATTTCGGCTCATAACTTTGTCCAGGTTAGGATTTTTTACAATGGCCGCTACCATTTTCCAGAAGATTTAATCCTCATGATACACGACGGCAGGTTTAGGAATCGAACCCACCCCACATCAAGTTGGCGAGAGCCAAACGTCCTCATTTTCGTGGCGTCAACTGAAGTAAAAAAGAAAGAGAGCAAGTTACTTTAAATAGACGTACTAACAAAGGAGCGGGCTGTAAACAAAAATACAACAGTTAACGAGTGCTTTTGTACCAGGCGTTTCACGCAATTCCAAGAGAGACAAGAACCCACGTGCAAACGATTTAGCGCGCGAGATTTCAAGCTTGGCGTCAGAGTCCCAGTCTTTGTAAAAATAAGTCACTTCTCAATTTGTCTTAACACATGTAGACTCCATGTTCGGCACGTTTCTGGCCAAAAGTAATTGAGATGTCTATGATATACATTCTATCTCTTGGAAAATCATTGAAATGAAAATGTATACATAATAACACTCCAATGCACAATCATCCGAGATCACGGCTTTTTTTTATTCATAAAACGATATACACTACAGCAATGCCGGGCCATCAGCTTTAAGCCTTCCATTTAAAAAACAAACAAACAAACAAACGATATTTTAAAGCTTAAGTGATTATAAGCATATTTTTCAACGTGTTTCCGAGATTAGAATATCAATTCCAGCTTTATAGAGAACATGTCCATTCATGAACGGCAAAAGAAACGTTTTAGAATACTGGCTCACTGCCGTCTTTCTTTTGTAGCTCTATAAGACAGTTGAACTGCCTCTGTGTGAGTCAGTTGCATCAGAGCTTCACAAGACTACGCTGTTTAGCTAGCCCAGAAGATTCAGCCATTCTTTCGCCTTTCAAGTTTAAACTTCAGTGCCAAGGTAAACCAAATTGCTTTCGTTTACACAAGGGACATACGTCCAACAGGCTGCTTTTATTTTCTAATCGCTGAAGGTTTCTTCATTTCAATTTTTTGATAAACCTTTCTGTTTTCTCTCACTTGTTCCAAAAACCTTCACCAGTGAGACTGCCCTTTGCCATCAGAATTTACCTTCAGAAGTGACATCTGATCTTACTAATTTGTGCTGCAAACCTGAGATGAATTTTGAAAACCTCACTGACTCAAGGGTTTTACCTTGAAGTAACATCAAATCATTAATTTTCTTCAGTTTGAATATAAATGTTTGGTAATCGCAAGGAAGAATTTAGGTATCATTGGAGGATTCTGTATGTAAAGGCGCTCATACTTTAGGTCGTGAGAGATCTTCCGCATAAGTTGTCGGAAGGAAATGACCTACCTGCTTCCTAGAAAATAACTTGGGGCATAAAAACTATACTTTGATACTGAAGGAGTACGTTACAAATAGGTTTTAAAGAGCGATCATTTTGTTACTCGCAGATGAGTGCCATGGAGAGAAAAACAAAGAAGGAAGTCGACGAGCTTCGGCAAGAAGTGAAAGGCATGTCTGTCGATATGAGAATGTTTTCCCTCTCCATGAGGTCCCTCTACGCCGAAAAAGCGGTGGGCACTGACGAAGAAGTTGCCAAGGAGTTCAGAAAACTTCGCGACGACACTAGGAATGATGCAATGGTGTACATTAAGGGCATTCTTCCTATAACAACCGAGTTTATCACATCCATCAGTGCATTCTTTGATTACTTTGACGCTCTGGCGTTTGATGAGTGGTGTGAAAGTATATCCACGATCCACAAGGAAGCTGCTGAGTACAAGAAACTCTGTAAGACGCTATTGAAACTGCATCAAGACATTTTGGTACCCCTTAAGAAGAGTAGAGACCAAGCTGGTATTCTGGTGGGCAAAATAAAAAACCTTGCGGAAGAATTTGAGAGAAAGAAGGAAGCGCTGGAAAAAAAGGGAGGCACCAAGCGCGTTTGGGCGATAGCACTTTCCTTTGTCCCGGCCGTTGGTGCGATTGCCGGCCCCGTATTACATGCCTGTGGTGATAAAGATTTGGCAGAAGCCACTGCTGCAGGAGAGCAAGCCCAGATCCAAGAGGCAGCCGCCTTGATAGTGGAAAATACCCTCGTTCCTGCTTTTGAAGCCTTCATTGATGGAATTTCTAAAGCAGCTGGCTTTTTCTCTGTTATGGAACATGAACTGCAAAAGTTCGAAAATAGCGCCAAGAAGAGCGAGGACGACCCAAAATTTATCTTCTTCAAAGTAATGAAGGTGGAAGCCAGGGATATGAAGTCTGTTTGCCAAGTGTTTTACGCAGCATTACCAGATGTGAAGACTGACTTCGATGCTATGCCTACAGAGGGCACAGACCGCAACTACGTGGACGAATGGTTGGAGAAGCAGAAGAAGACTATACAAGAAGAATGTAAAGGTAAACTTGCCAAAAATATGCTGTCAGCCATTGCACAGGCAGTGGAGAAAAACTGAGATGAAAAAGCTGCCCATTACAAGTCAGGAAGTTCCTTAATCAAGAGCTATCTACCAAGTGGACATTTCAAGTAGAACAGATGATTTTAAAGAAACTGTGGCGCTAATTGTCAAAAGGTTCATGGACTCGTTCCACATCTTACTGAAACATGTCGAACTAAAATAACTAGGCCAAAATAACTAGAAAATTCAGCGATTGATCTAGCTTTTATGAGGATCATTGATGACAAAGACTTTTATTAAGGATGTAGAAACTCAGATGAGAAGTTTTAAAGTTTTGAATATTTTGCTTTTATCATCTGTTCAATTTGGCCAGTTTGAGTACATCTTTAACAGTGCTTAAAATGACTCATCTGCTACTTCAAAATATTCGCATAATAGCTTTTTATATAATTGTCTTTTACCCCTAAAACGTTTTATAAAAGTAATGCCGCGGCTGTGACTTAGCGTCGTAAGCGGTCTACAACAAACTGAAACTGTAGAGCGTAGAAAATTTAAGTTATTAAGTCATTAGCTACTTTTATTTTGATATATGATAGCTATTGTATTGCATAAGGTCAAGACTTCAACAAACCTTGATTCTATTTACGTTCAAACGGAAAGGCAACTGCTGGATTGAAACATCTTTAACAGCGTTTAAAACGATTCATTCGTTGTTTCTATCCAGAGCCCGTGATTTTCATTTGGCGAGTTTTCATGAAAAATTTCTTTTTGGTGAATTGCAGTAATGATTGTTGTGGAGACTTGGAAAAGCCCTAGTAAAGGATTAGATAACATCAAAAGAACTGAGTACATCTTAAACAGTGTTTTTTATAAATGACTCACTCTTTTCAAACTTTTTTATCGCTGGCGTGTTGTAGGAAAAATGTTTTTTGGTATATAAGCTTGGATAATTGACTTACCGCATTAAATGTTGTTATCGGTTTGAAAGTTATTTTGATTAAATAAAATTAACAATCAATTGATGTGCGTTAGCGTTCCAACATTCTTAATGTAATTCAAATCACCGGCCTGCGAATACGAAGTACCCGGCCTTTCATCATTTCAGAAACATATTTACCAAGCAGTGAGTCTGAAAACCCCAGTATGTTTCCACTGAAGCGATCTGTAAAACGAAGCGCGTCCTCTGTGGATTTTATATGACATTGACTTGCTTAACTTCGAAGACTGTTTGGTATTTACAACCCATTAAATATCTTTGCTCGGGTGCGATTGGTCTAAACGCATCACGTGACCTGATATGCCCCAGCTAAAGCTGGGAAATATTCGGTGAAATGCTCCAAGTGATATTCCCGAATTTTGGAACCTTGCATCCACGTCGATAAACGTTTTCATTAAAAATTTATCCAATACGAGAGAGCATTTAGCTGTTGTTACAGAAGACGAGACGTGTTTGTTTGTTCACGGAGCCGTGCTTAAAAACATCGAAAAGCGAGCATTCCACGCAGCAAACAATAAATTGTTTACGGTAAACATTTCTCCTGCGCATTGCAAAAATATATGAAGAATAATAAACACATTAGCTCCATTTGCCACGAAAATGTGTCCGTAAATTTGTCCTAAGACATTATCTGCTCCTCGAGGCTATCAGTTTTCCTCGAGCTTTGTGCTCGAAAACTGTTCACTTCACGGACTGAGAATGTCCGCGAACAGATATCCGTGCATAATTTCGCACCATACGGAGGCTCTTGTTCATTTATTCCGTTGATGGTTTTATTTTTTAACTAGAATGAAAATGGCTACATGAAGAGTGGAAACTAATTGTCACGCGAAGTATATGGAGAGGAGACGCTGATGCAATCGGCTGGTAGTTCAACGAGAGGTAGCGATGCAAGCATGACTATGTCCTTGTTTCCTTAAAAGACTAAACGCGATTTACTGAAATTCTGGGATTCCTTAGACATCATCATTCCGTATTCCAGAAACTACTTGGTCCTACTAAGATGGGGTTTATGATTTGTCTCAGAATAGACTATAATGGGGTAGGGATTTCGAAAGGTCAGCATCACATGGGTTTAGCGTGCGCCATCAGTATTAGAGTAACAGTATTAGTACCGCGTTTATGTGAAACGCGAACGGCACGAGTGACAGCCATTTTTTCATGTTAGCCGGTTGCACTTTGCCGTTTATACGGGAAGGTAATCGTTTTGCTTTTGTCGCGTAAATAAGATTTTCTTCACCTTTTTTCCCACAGAGTAGACGTTAATTGCCGGGAAAAAGGCACCAAAAGTATTCCTTGATGGTCACACAAGGGCGCCTTTAAGTCCGCCATGACGAGAGCTCACGCCAAGCTAAAGCCGCAAGGTTCACGCTATTTTACGTAAAACGTGAAGCCACTACTGAATTGTCTCCATCTCGGACAAAAGAAAGTTAATGCCCGGTTTGGTCTTGGGGTAAGCAGCAAAGAGCTTTTGATTCAGTGAGCAGGACGTAGTCTAAATATGTCATTATCTTGTCTCGCCCCAGTCTCTTTACCTCTCGCATTTCACATCGTCATTACTTATCGCATCAAAAGAGAGACCGACTGTTATTGAAGCAATTGGCTCTAATTTTGGAAAATGACATGTATACAAAAAGAAAATTACAAAATTACTACGCTACTTTGTATTTAAAGATAAGACGATTTATTTGACGATCGTTAAAGCGGTCTGTATCAAGTTTTGGTCAATAAGTTGATTTGTTTCTAAAATTATGTTTTATCCCCTTTTACTTGAATGGGGATCAAATTTCTCGAGGAATTGTTTTTTTGTCTTATTTTTCCAATAGCTCAGCGTGTTAGGGGCCCTAGGTATATGTTTGTGCTTACGAAACCTTTCTAGAAAGCTCTAAATCGTGGTGCATGAGCTCGGCTTTCTCCCGCATTTCCCAGTCTGAATTTTAACACTGGCAATAGGCGGATTCATGCTGACGTCATTGTTTACATTTTTGCTCATTTGCATACAGCTTTGCGTAAAGAAGGAAGCTTGTTAGATACAAATTGACTTCAGGCAGCTAAAGAGCTAGAAAACCTTAGTACATGGTGAAATTTTTAGCTCTTCGGGTGTAATATTCAAGGAGAAATAGTCCATCAAAAACTGGAAAATTTCTGGGTGGCAAAAGCGCTAATGAGCTCATACATTCTATGTAAAATTTTGAGTTTTTAAACCCGTGTTGCACAAAAAGCATTCGATGCATCAGGCTCGTGTTCATTGGCCGAGTTAGTCGTACTTTGACCTTTCGATATTCAGAACTGACTTATTTTTAGCTCCATCAGAAACTGAATTGCTTATGCTAATAAGGCAAATGTTGTAAACAAGGATTCCCCTATATGAGAACTGAGGAAGCAAAGTCATTTCAGCTAACTATCTCACGAATCATGGGATATTGTTTCAGGTTACGGCCTGCAGTTTAAGGCCACAAAGATTCTTATGTGTCTTCGTAAGCGCGTACTTCCTTTTTTGATGCTGTTTGCCTGTCATCGACACAAGCATACCCAAAAACGCTCAGGACAACGAACACTTTCGGAAACTGTGGAGCTCTTTTAAATGCATCTTTTTTTAATGCGTCGTTTTTGTATGGACATGTGAAAATGGAGGCTTTTGAAAAGGATGACGAAAACATTGCACGTACTTTCGCCTTTCACTGCCAGTGTTTTCGGTCTCTCTGGTGCGGACTCGTGATAGTTGAAAAGGTATAAATCTTAAGGTATGCGTTTTTAAATGAAAATGAACTAGTGGTAGAGACAAGAGCAAGACTGAAGAAAAAGAGTGGGTAAAGTACTTTGCTTCCCTTTTTGCTAGGACTAAAATAGATGGCTCTAAAAACGGATTAGTGTGGTTTGCGCCCAAACATAGCGCGTAATATAATGACTCAGGTGTTCGCTTTAGTTGACCTTTGGTTGTCGGAGTGATTATTTTCTTACAAAATATTATTACATGTCTCGACAAAAGAATGAAATGACTAACAATTTATATCTGACTAAACGTTGTGGCGCGTATGAGTCACGAAACAAGTTACAAAAGACTGACCAAAGTAGAGATAAAACAAAGTTTGATAACTAGTGAGATTAATAGGCCAACTTAACTCTAAAGCGTGTTACTGAGTTCATCGCAATGCTATATTTATATGTAAAACTAGAAGGGAATCTATGTTTGCTGCTCTACGGAAGCAGGACTGGTGTGTTCATGCAGACGGTACTTCGATACATGTTGCCAGTTCACTTCCTCTCTGTTCTTTCGTGTCACTGTTCTGTACTCTGTGTTTTGTCTTATCTCTTTACCTCTAAAGCGATCACCAACCTATCATCCATTAAAACGAGAGAGAGTGATTGCTTCTCTAAGACATGGAAGTTTGAACATATGTTGCATCATGCGATAAGCAAATATTTGAACCACCATAAGGTCTTTTTTTGTGAAAAAAAAATGGAAAATGGAAAATGAAAATATTGGAACAATTGCGCAACGATGATGACATTGTGTCGCTGGAGGACTTGTAAGGTACATCCACTTGCCTTTTTGTAAACCCTTAAAAAATGAAATCCTTATTTTCATCTAATAGGATTGAGGCTGGCATGTTCAGCCTAAAACTATGCAAAGATGTCACCCAGGTGATCATTATAACAAGTAATATTACATGGGTCAATAAAAGGTTTCAGAGCTTATGCGGACTTATTAGTCTTTAAGAACGACGGCTTAGGCTGAACAAATTTACGAAATTCATTAATGAACTAGCGATGTTGATGCCATTTAGAAAATTCCCTTCGGCTCATAACTTTGTCCAGGTTAAGATGTTTTACAATGGCCGCTATCATTTTCCAGAAGATTCATTTTAGCTACTCAATTTGGAAGTCCTTTCCAGATGGGGAACGGATAGGTCAAGGAAAAAAAAGCACTCTAAATTGGAATTTTGAATGCTGTTTCCGTCAAGAAAGGGAGAAAGTTAATAAAGCTGAAGGAAAAACATTTGAAATGGAGACCAATTAAAAAGCTACATAATACACGACTGCAGGTTCAGGAATCGAACCCACCCCACATTGGCGAGAGCAAAACGTCCTCATTTTCGTGGCGTCATAATGACGCAAAAAAGAAAGAGAGCGAGTTACCTTAAATAGACGTGGTAACAAAGGAGCGGGCCTTGGGCTGTAAATAAATATAAAACCGTGCGTTTACGAGTACTTTTGTGCCAGGCGTTTCACGCAATTCCAAGAAAGACAAGAACGATTTGGCAAAGCTTGACGTCAGAGCCCCAGTCTTTTCGTAAAAATGAATCACATCTCAATTTGTCTTAACACATGCAGACTCCATGTTCGGCACGTTTCCTGCCAAAAGTAGTTAAGATGTCTATGATATATGTTCCATCTAATAATAATAATAATAATAACGAATTTTTATACAGGATTGAAAACCCATCAGTGTGTAACACTGTTGTCCTTGGGGTCCTGTCAAAATAATAAATAAATAAATAAAATAAAACCTAACAAGATATAATCATTGATCTTAAGGTCTAGAAAAGCATACAATAAAATAAAATGCTCTGAAAAAGGATACCTATAACCACGTTTAGATCGAATTTTTAACTAAAATAATCTCGCAATTTGTTCTTAAATTTCAGTCTCGAATCTAACGACCTTAGTTCAGCAGGCAGGTTGTTGAAAGTCTTTGCTCCTTGGTAATAGAAGCTCTTTTTACCAAATTCTAAACGTACTTTGGGTAATTTCACTGATATACCGTTATTCCTAGTGGCCTTAGAATGAACCAGTCTTTCGAAGTAGTTCTTAAAGGGTGTGCAAACATTATTCAGGAGACAGTCGAAAACAAACAAACAGCTTTTACGCTTGATCAAATTGTTCACGGATGGGGGATTAAAAGAACTATTGCCAATAACTTTAAAGCCTCGTCGTTCGATGTTCTTTATCATTTCCTTTCGGTAATCCGGAAAGCTAAGACCAAGTGTTCCGCAATAGGTAAAAATAGGTGCGATCATAGTGTTAT